CGTGCTGACATCGGTCCACGGTAAAACTACAGTGACGGCAATGCTCTGTTACATGTCAGATGGGCACAAGCTTCGGCCGTACCTCATATTTAAATGGAAGACGCTCCCGAAAGGAGTCGTTTTTTCGAGTGGTGTGATCATGCGGGCCAACGATAAAAATGGGTGCGCGTTGCAATCGATGTCTTACGTTTTTTTTTTTTTTTTTTTTTCGTGGTGGAAATCGGGTGCGCGTTACAATCGAGGGCGTGGTAGAATCGAGTAAATATGGTACTATCGTTCCTGCAATCTTTTTTTGATTGTGCTGCCGCTCCCAGCGAATTGTTTTGACATTTTGTTCAAGTTGTGGTCAGAATTGGTGCTAATGCTTTCCGGGGACATTGAACTCAATCCCGGACCAACTGTTGAGGAAATGCTAGATACAATCTTAAAGACACAAACTCAAATACAAGCTAGGCTAACTCAGATAGAAGAAAAATTGGAACCTTTGTCTGAATATGCTGCTGAGATAAATAACCTTGACATTGCTGTTGAAAGCCTCCAGCGCACGATTGAACAACAGCAAGAAAGGTTAAACGAATTGGAAGACAGGGCTAGAAGAAATAATCTTCTTGTTTTTGGTGTCACTGAAACTGATAAGGAAACACGACAGGACATTGAAGAGAAAGTAATAAAAAACATATTCTCAACGCGCCTTGGTGTTACAGTGTCCTCAGTAGAAAGAATTCACCGCATTGATCAGAAGAAAAGCAAACAGGACAGACCAGTAATTGTAAGATTTTATGACTACAATGAAAAGATGGCCATATTTAGGAGCTGCAAAAAATTGAGAGGTACTAATATTGGAGTCTCTGACGACTACTCAAAAGAAACATTAGAAAAAAGGAAGTCCCTTTGGCGCTCTGCTCTTGATGATAGGCGCAATGGTGCGAAGGTGAAGCTTGTCCGAGATAAGCTTTACATCGACAACGCTGCTTATACGTGGGATTCCCGTTCCCATACACGCGAAGAACGCTCGGTCTGACAAAAGAAGCAGTGCGACATAAAGCTGATAAACGTGAACGCACGAAGCATTTTGAACAAAACAGAAGAACTAGAATCGTTGACACTAATTTATGACCCTGACTTCGTGGCTGTAACAGAAACTTGGCTAACAGAGGATGTTGCAGATACGGATGTTTTTCCCATTTCATTTCATGTACTGCGTAATGACGGACTAACCCGAGGCGGAGGCGTTGCTTTACTGATTAAGAAAACTCTTCGGTACGAATTATTGTCGCCCATTAAAGACTGTGAGAACGTGTGGTGCAAATTATTTATGGGAGATATCACGTTACTTATAGGGGTTCTCTATAGGCCCCCCGGAACTTCAGTTGATATTTTTGAGAAATTGGATGACTACTTGCTAACAATGACAAACAAACGAAGCAGAGTAATAATCACAGGCGATTTTAATTTACCAGGTGTTGACTAGAATGCACGAGTTGCTGGGCCGCTTAACAGGCCTCTTGCAGAAAATCTGCTTGACATCATGATCAAGTACGATTTGGTTCAGGTAGTTGACAAGCCCACTCGAGTTCAAGGACAAACCGAGACATTGTTGGACTTACTATTTTTGTCACAGGAAGTGTTTGATTATGAAATAAGTATCGAGGATGGAATCTCGGATCATAAGGTGGTTGCAGCAACTCTTAAACCAAATAAAAAATTAGAAAAAAATAACCAGAGTAAAGGTGTACAATTTTCAGTCCGCAGATGATACCTCAATTCTTGATTACTTAGAAATGGCTTTTGATGCTATCCCCCCAACAGATGATGTAAATGATCTCTGGGAATACTTTAAGAAGGTAGTAAACGACTGTTTGTCACGTTTTGTTCCCCAAAGAGAAAAGAGAACTGCAAAAGCTAACCCATGGATTACCAGAAGTATCATTCACCTAAAACGACGACTATGTCGCGCCCGTCAGAAAATACCAAGAAACTCGTCTGTTATTGCTCACATTAGTGCTCAGGTACGAAGAGAAGTCAAGCAATCTAAAAGTAATTTTCTAACTAATATATTGTCTGAATACATATCCAACTCTCCCCAGAAATTTTGGCGGTACCTGTCTAGTTCGCAGTCTGAAATAACTGGGCTTTCTATAGACGGGACCTCCTATAGCGAACCGATTCAGATTGCCGAAGCACTCAATCATTACTTCAGTACTGTTTTTTCTCCAAGTATTGATCATTCAAAAAAAGGCTGTACGTTCGATGATACTAGTTCCAATCTTCTTACCGTATCTAAAGAGGGCGTAATGGCATTACTGCTTGAATTGGATCATGAAAAATCACCTGGTCCGGATATGATTCCCAACGAATTTTCGAGGCGCTACTCTGATTGGGTTTCTAGTTTCTTAGTTAAAATTTTTAATTTATCTTTGTGTACTGCCGCTGTTCCGATTGATTGGTTATTAGCAAGAGTTGCGCCCATTTTCAAAGCTGGTGACCGCCTTAATGTTTGTAATTACCGTCCAATTTCTATCACATGCACGGCGTGCAAAGTAATAGAACATATAATTTCAAAATATATATTTCAATATATAGAAAATAATAATCTGTTTTATAATAAGCAACACGGTTTTAGAAAAGGCCTTTCAACCGTCACTCAGCTTTTTGAATCTGTTCATGCTTTCGCTACAGCGATAAACTCAAAAGAACAAGTCGATGTCATAGCAATTGATTTCTCTAAGGCCTTTGATAGAGTATGTCACCAGAAACTTATTCAAAAAATGTTAATACTTGGTATTGATCCCGCAATTGTAAGATGGGTTGAAGCGTACTTGCGCAATAGGTTGCAGTTTGTTGAAATAAGTGGCGCACATTCTTCTCTTTTACGCGTATCCTCAGGTGTGCCACAAGGCTCCGTGTTGGGACCTCTACTCTTTTTAATTTATGTGAATGATATTGCAACGGTTGTGCCTCCTTTTGTTGATATAAGGTTATATGCAGATGATTGTCTCTTGTTTTGTCATGTGAAAAGTGTTTCTGATCAAATGCTCCTCAATGATGCTCTTCGATGTATTGACAACTGGTGTGAAAAATGGGACATGAAAATTAATTTTGATAAAACTGTTTGCATGACAATTTCAAACAAAGATCCCCCCTTAACTATAAATACACAATAAACAATAGAGAAATTAAGAGTTCTAATGAGTTTAAATTCTTAGGTGTTACTATATCCAGCAGTTTAAAGTGGGACAAGCATACTGACAACATTACAGGACTGGCGAAGCGAAAGCTGGGTTTTCTGAGAAGGAAACTCCGTAATGCAGTGCCCTCTGTTAAATTGTTGGCGTATAAGACTATTGTTAGACCAACGCTGGAGTACGCAGCTATCATCTGGGATCCGCATACTAAAACTGAAATTAACAAACTTGAACGAGTACAAAGATTGGCCGCGAGGTTTATTTATTCAAATTACATGAGAACATAGTCTGTATCACTTTTGCTTGCTAGGGCTGACCTTCGATCGTTAGCTACACGTAGAAAAATAGCTCGCTTAAAATTTATTTATGACCTGTATCATAAGAACTACAAGCTGGATCCCAGTGTATACCTGGGCCCCCCAGGACGAGTGTCCGCTCGTACCAATCACTCATTTTCATGTCCAAGCTTATGTACCTGCAGGTGGATGTATTTAAGTTTTCGTTTCTGGTGCGATCTATTGTTGACTGGAATGCGCTTCCTCCCGAGGTACTTACAGGATGTAGATCCTCACAGGATTTTCAACGACGGCTGGACTTGTTTTTTGCCTAACATTGTTTGTGTATTGTTCACCTGTTCACCTCCCACCCCTGCTACAGCCCGCAAGGGCTAGCAGTATTGTAAATAAAGTAAATAAATGAATGATCTCGAACAGTGATGCACAGTTTCTTCTGAGCATTCTTGACCCAGGCTTTGTCGGCGAAAACCGAATCAAACAAAAGTAAAAATAATAACTGCGCTTGGCAATACAGTCAAACCCTTTTATAAGAGACTGATATAAGAGACAAATGCTTATAAGAGACACCGGTGTGCCAACAGTAAAATACAGGTGTATAAGAAAATGCATACGAAGTACCGTGCTTATAAGACACATCTTATATAAAAGACAAGAATTGCTGCTTGGAGCATGCCTATTATAAAGGGGTTCAACTGTACGATATTTTAACGTGAAAGTGCAGCTTCACGGCTGTGGGGATTTTTAATGTATAGGTGCGAATTGAAGCGTATTTTAATACTGTAGTATTTGTTCGAGTATTCAAAGTGCTCGAATATTTGCACCTAGAAAAATTCAAAACATTAATGCAACTGGTTTTTATCTAAGCAGTATAATTGTGAGCTAGGACTAGGACAAAACAAGTGCCAGGAACAAAGGAATGGTATTCAACTTCTGTATACCACAAACTATTTTGTGTGCTACAAGGGAATGAAATTGACATAGAAAGAATGACATTGAATAATGCAGGACAACCAACTGGCCCATACCCTGGCTCTTCTACCACTTTTGTAGGCATAGCTGTCTTCCTCACTGAATGTGCCATCCTAACATTCTGCTCACTCAGCATTTGTATCTATAACTTCAGGAGGTTGTGTGAAAAAGTAAGAGCTCAAAGGGTAATATTACGCCACTTTCTTTATTAGCTGTCCAAAAAATGTTCTTTTTTATTCAATAATCTGATCTAAATTGGCCATGTTGCCCCGCCGCGGTTGTCTAGTGGATAAAGCTGACCCTGCAGGGCGCGGGATCGAACTCCGGCTGTGGCGGCTGCATTTTCGATGGAGGCCAAAATGCTGTAGGCCTATGTGCTCAGAATTGGGTGCACGTTAAAGAACCCCATGTGGTCGAAATTTCTGGAATCCTCCATTATGGCATCTCTCATAATCATAAGGTAGTTTTGGGGCATTAAACCCAACATATCGAACTGGTCACGTTCTTCCAAACCCCCGGCTAGAGCCGGGCACCTTTTCTGTCTGAGCAGAAGAGTTGGAGCTGCAGCAAGAGCGGGCCCAGTGTTGGATGGCCGACCGGGAGGTGCTGCATGTGCGGGAGCAGCTGCATCTACGGTCGCAGCAGCTGGACAGCCTGCGGCAATCCCTGGAGGAGAAGCGCCAGCGGCTTGCAGGCTGCCAGCTACAGCGCCAGAAACTAGTGCGAGCTTACGTGGGCGACCTCGCTCGTGACATCTTCCCCATACACGAGGAAGAGCGCCCACTCGAAGCCAGGTCAGTGGTAGCACACTGCGTTAGCTGCTGATCTGGGGTTCTCTGTCCCATAAGCATGACATGATTGTGAGGCACACCCTAGTGGAAAGCTCCAGAGGTTTCGACCATCTTTAACAAGCACCGATATCGCGTAGCTCGCGAGCCTCTGGCATTTTGATACGGCACATACACCGAGTAAGTCCAGCAAAGTTATGCACTGTCACTATCGCCAGCAGTTTGTGCTCAGGAACCAGGGGGGTTGCCTACACAACATGCAAGGCGGCTGACACAGCAGCATTCTTTGAAACGCAACCACCATGTTTGGGACCGAACCAGCAACCTTCAGATCAGTAGCTGGGCACCATAACCGCTACACCACCGTGGCAGACTAGATTAGCAACCTTCAGACCAGCAGCCGGGCACCAGAACGGCTACACCACCGTGGCAGAATTAGCTGCTTTGCACGTGGAAAGCCTGTGTTCAAAATAAGAAAACTTGACTCTTGCTATAGCATCTTCATTGCATATTTTACAGCATTCTAGATGTTTTTCTTTAACACAGACCCCTTCTCTTACAATCCTCTTTATTCATTGTTTCTACCATTTCTACAAAGCTTCCTCAAACACAGTGTGGTGGTCCACTTTCCTGAATCTACTTTATGATTTGGGAATGGCATCTTTTCAAAGTTGTTTTAAGTTTGTGAAGAAGGAAAATGCTCTACAAGTCACCGACAGATTTTTGGTACTCTGAAAATTCAGACTTCACAAATGCACCGTCAAGGTTCCCATTGCACTAATGCATTTTCGCAACCGATTTTTTGGCGCGATTTATGTTCCAAAGTTTGGTTTTCCGGACTGAATTGTTTGTTTTGAGCTATGCAGCTTGATTTTGAAGGCCGCCTTGTTGAATTTTTTTTTGTTGGCTTCGCCAAGCTTGGCTTGCAGTGGTGGCCTCCAAGATTGGCAGTGCACATAATCTTCCAGTTTTTAAGGCCATGTCTGATGTTCTTTAGCTAGCAAAATAGCGAAACTTCTCTTTTTAAGTCAGCCTTCTCATCATCATTAATATTCCAGTAGGTTGTTTTTATTTTCTGGGTGTTTGTTTTCTGGTCTTCATTGCATACATAATCGTGTTAACGGCGTGCAAAGTGTGTTTGAGCCATCGTGCGCATCACGTGTGCGCTGCTGTTCGTGAGTGCTCAGTAGCTCTCCAGGGGGTAGGTGTCACGTTGCGTGGCTACTGACCTGGAACGCGCGGGTTTGATCGTGGCCACGACAATAGCGTTTTGATGGTGGCGAAATGCTGAAGGCTCATGTACTGTGTGGTGTCGGTGCAAATAAAAGAAGCTCATACCGTGTTGGTAAATCCCACCAAACAGGCAAGCTGTTGCATGCATTTTTTTGCGACCGGCATCAAGTTTTGTTTGCTTGATTGTAAGGAGCCACCATCTTTGCCGCCCACAGCAGTCGGCAGCAGCGATTGCCAACATGCTTGCCAACAGTGTTGCCATAGCCTACATACCAAGTCTCCCTGGATTGGCCGGGAGGCTCCCGTATATCGACCGTTTCTTCCGTTTGTACGGTTGTCATGAAAATCTCCCTGCTATCGAAGTTTCTGTGCGTCATCTGGCCGCATTGACAAAAAAGCAGCTCAATCAGCTCTAGGCTTTTCGAACCTAGCTCATTTTATTATAAATGAGTTTGAAAGACGTTCATCTACACGTACAGTAGAATCTCAAGTGATGCAAAACTGCGGCAGATACGAATTTGTGAAAATACTCGGCCAAATTCCACTATCTCCATTGGGCTTAAATTCGAATGTTCCAAACACATTTCCTAATCGCTACGGGTGATACGGAACCGTCAAACAAAGACCGAGAGCAGCGTACTCGAAGCTTTGGAAGTACATGTGTAACCGGTGCACAAACTGTCTTCTACAGTGTGTGTGATTGTCGTTGCCACAATCCCTGTGGACCAAACCGTGGTCGCTTTTGACACGATCATGTATAGGCAGTGTTCACTCGAGTTTGACTGCAGCGCCAGAATACATAGCCTAGCGGATAAAAAAAGCAACCTCGATATGGCTTCAATGAAAATGTGAAGTGACGCGCGCGTCTCGAGCCCTGCATTATTTGTTGGCGAATTGTGGCCGGGATCCATGGGAGACGCGTGCACGCATCTATTTTGTGCGTGCCCCTAATGGTGAATTTCAAAGACTTTGAAACAAGGCAGTGTGAGCAACGCAGCTCCCTCTGATCAGTGTGCGATGCCTATGGTGATTATGTAACTGACAGAACCCCGAAAGTGTGTGCTGAACCAGTCAAAGCAACTCTGCTTTCCGCCAACTCTGCGGACAAAACTGCGGCAGATGCAATTGTAGATAGCATAATTCGATTTAATTTGAAGGCGCGTACACAGCCAAGCCCGCGGGGATTGTAAAAGGAACTACTGGTGGCCACAAGTTCGCAACGGACACGCTCATAACTGCGGTCGTATCGACACGATAGGGATTACAAGCTCCGAGGGTACGCAGCGGTAGATGAAAGGCCGAAATACACAAATACAATTGCGCTATCATTAAAAGAAATGGATTTCCTTCGGCACGCTAGCACACGTGCTGCTCATGGTGCGTTGTGAAGATGACTATGTGGTTGTTAGGTGGATTCTGTTTTGTTTGTTTTGTATTTTCTTTTTTTGTTAGATACTGACCAAGTATATATTGTGCGGTTCTGGCAAATATATCTTGTTGTAAGTTCAGTGCCGCTGTCTGTCTCCTTCTTTTTCTAGTCTCTCGTTATTGGCGCTGTTTTTTATGTGAATCATGTCGTACCAACTCGCCCAAGCAACCACGTTAGACACACAAAAAAGTCACAGTTTCGCCGTAAGGGTGCAGTAATGAATGCGACAGCAACAAATTGGAGTGTCACGGTGAGATTGGCAAGCAGATCTACATATGCAGCGCGCTGCTCACCGACAAATGATGCACGAAAACCGAACACACAGGACCAGAGCCACTTAACAACGTTTACCGCTCGACACGTAATTCACTGTTTAAACAAAAACTATGCTCGATACGTAATAACAGGTACAGATGAGTACAAACTAACAGGTGTCCCAGTTGTTAAACCTCGCTGTGTATGAAAAGCGCGCTCTTTTTGCAAATGGGGCCTGTGCAGAGACCAAAGTGACCTTTGTGGGCCCGGCAACTAACCCAATCGTTCCAAAGGCACACGATTCTCCGCATGAAACGATAAACGTGTGCACAAGCATTTTAGCTCCCCCCCCCCTCACCCGTGGAGCAAAATACGCGCGAGAGATAAGCGGGTGTCGGCGCATCGTGACAAGCTGGGCGCCAAGCGCGGGCTGCTGCTTTTCTTTCTTGGGTGTTTGTATATATATAGATAGGTATACATATATGGTGAATGACGGCTGCAAAGGCAAAAAACCAGCCTAGACTGTCCATATAATTTAGATACCCCCACCCCCTCTTGTTCTTCGCAATTTTTTTTGTTCTTGGTTTTTTTTTTACCGAGATAAAAAAACTAGAGGCCAATAATTTAACGCTTCCCCCCCCCCCTCTTCATTGTGGAAATCTCCCGGATTCAATATTCTTGAACTTGGCAGGTATGCCGTAGCTCAAATAGAATGGAATTCGCTTGTCCCCAAGAACCTAATGAAACATGGCATTATTGGGGTTGGTATGTTAAACTTTTCTAATCCAAATAAATTTCATTTTCACGACTTGATCATTTTTTTAGACCATTTCGTGGTCCTCGCCAGGCCCGGAAAATCGGTTGGTAACTGTATAAGGCCGGAGCATGCGTAACCATGCGGCAGGCTTAGTGGCGTGACACGTAGACCAAGCTTCGGCGAGAATGGCAACAGACTCTTTTCCCACGTTTGTTGCACGTGTTTTTACTGGAGGGGGAAAAGGGGTGATTGACTGTTGTGACACATTTCACATGACGCGCATAGGCCACACTGGGTCAGCTACAGAAAAACACACATGGTGGAGGCCTACTAGCTCCAGCCAGCAGCATGTACAGGAAACGTTACGAAACTGGTGTGTTTACATGACACCAGGGATCACATGACACAGCATTGTCTCCCCCTGGAGGAATCGCATCCTGATACATTTGTAAATGGGACCTGAAAATGGAAACCATGTGTCCTATAACATCAGAGAGAAATTCAGTCCTCCTGAATCACACAAGTGGGGGTGCAACAGCTGCACCGATTTGCACCAATTTCGATACCATTTTCCATTTTTGTGCCGAGCAGCACCGAAACCAGGAAATTTGTCGAAATAGCGCCACACTGTGCCAAAGTGCCCGACATGCCTCAAAATTTTTTCACTTGCCCGAATTTCCATGTAAAATGGACACCACATTGGCCACCTGTAGTTCGCATCATCAATCAATCTAGGGATTCAGGCACCCAGACTAACCCCCAACTACGGTGTAACATGTATACTAATTATGCCAGGGCACTCTGGAAGGGCAATACCCCAGATAAAGTAACAATTCATGTGGTCATCGGTCTGCTGACCGCGGCTTGTATGTATGGGCAAGACGGCGCAAGTCAAGACGAAAATGCTTTGTCGTAGCCAGTGACACTACACGGGAAATATGAATTTCCTAGTCAGCAATCGTGGCTGTGGCGTGTTGGGAAGTAAAGCTAGAAGTGTGTGCCGCTGTTAATAGGCACGAACTCGATACCTGTGAACGCCGGCGTTGCCGACGACCACGTTATTTGCCATAAATATGTCATATCATAAATATCTGGTGCCGTCGCTTGGCCAGCGGGCCCGAAAAGGGCACCGCGTTTGATCTAGTCAAAGGTGCCTGCCGAGCTAGCGAGAAGTTTTGCACTAAACCTTATTTTATCGTAAAAAGAAAGAGGGGAGGAGGTCGCTATAGTGGTAGGAAAATTTCTTGGCCTTGTTCAAACCCGTGTAGAATGTTGCTTAAGCTACCTTCACCGCAATGCATCAGTGGCCTGCGGAAAGTGTTTTAAAATTTG